TTTGGTGTAACTCAGAAACACAAGGAGAAGATATTGTGAGGAATTGGACTTCATAATTGTCTGTCAATTCACACAACAACTTGTGTGTATTGACAAACATCAATGTTTAAATCTGTTATATAATGTTTTGTGTATCATGAATGTCAGCTTACTTGACTGTTATTTTGGAAATAACATACAATGTAGATTTTAAACCGTATTGATTACCGTTCTGTATCTGTCGTAATAGACATAGAGAACGTGGTGAGGCTCTTTGAAATGAATTCTACCGAAACAACGCTTCCCCGATTGATATAGGCGTTTATGGCCATTCGTTAATTAAACAAAAGCTGTAATCAAGAGCTTTTCTTTGATTAACTGTAGAACCTAAAAATATCTGGTTCGTTATCATTAATAAAAACGAATCCACGTTCTGCATGACTAATATTAATGGTACAATTGCTGAATCGTATTCCGTTAATTTTTAGGTTTTCGAGATGGAATTACACAATCAACAGCTCAGAGTTTAGTTGTCCATGGCTTAGATGTTATATTACCTTTGTCTTATTCTTCATTCTTTTACTTTCAACTTATTGTCTCTGTAGCATCGTCTTATTTTTTGATTTGATCTTCCTTATCACACTTCTTAATAATATACGTCCTTGGTTCTCTCCTACTGGAATTGAATTTCATTGTACCACCGTTTTACACGTTACTTTATCAAACTCCGTAGTTACTTCGTCTGCATAATTCTCGTAAATCTTAGCTGATGATTTTTTGACTGGCTTAAACAAATATGATTGCTTCGTTACACTCCACCAGCACAAAGTTGCGGAAACAATTGCTCCAAGCAGAAACCGGAATATCTTGCCACCAGTTCAACTACCAAGTTCTAAAAATTGTAGTTTTTAAATTATAGTTATAAATTTCAGACTTGATAAAGAAGAGTTGCACTAAGCAGACAATTAAAAACAATCCTGAATTATACTGGACAGATTAGGAAGAAACTAGTAATTACACTGCACAGTTCACAGAATTGAAGATAACGGGTGTTTTTATAGAGGTATAGAACTTTAAGTTGGCAACACTTTTTTAACTGGCGGCCATTTTGTCAGCTGTCAAGTGATTTATATTTAGTTTGGTTTGGCATTTCAACATAAATAGACTGACGCCTGAACAACGCTTCCAAATTGTGCAAATTTATTTTGAAAATCATGGTTCTGTTCGAAATGCGTATCGCGCACTACGTCCATGTTACGGTCAACATAATCGTCCATCAGAGCAATTAATTCGATTAACTATGGAACGTTTTCGCACCACGTTTACTCTAAATGACGTCTCTGTGGATGCGTATTATGCATCCACAGAGACGTCGTACAGTGCGTACAGAAGAAGTCATTGCTGCTGTAGAGCGTAGCGTAGAGGAATCAGTCTATGCGCCATCGTGCACAGGAATTGGATTGGACACATATCCAATATATCCACTTTATGGAAGATTTTGCAGAAAGATCTTGGTTTGCGTGCTTACAAAATCCAACTCGTGCAAGAATTGAAGCCACACGATCACCTAGCAAGGCGTAGATTCGGTGAATGGGCCCAAAACAAGATTGCCGTTGATCCCGATTTTCATAAGCAAATTTTGCTTAGCGATGAAGTTCACTTTCGTTTGAATGGATATGTCAATAAACAAAACTGCGGTATTTGGAGTGATGGTAATCCTCAAGTGTATGTTGAGACACCGTTACATCCAGAAAAACTGACTGTTTGGTGTGCTTTATAGGATGGTGGAATCAGTGGTCCGTACTTCTTTAAAAACGATTCTGGTCAGGAAGTTGCAGTCAATGGTGACCGCTATAGAGCCATGATTACTGACTTTTCAATTGAACAACCATGATGTGTAGGAGCTGTGGTTTTAACAAGACGGCGCAACATGTCGCACAGCTCGTACCACAATTGATTTATTGAAGGAAACGTTTGGTAACCGCATAGTTTCACGTTTCGGCCTCCAAGATCGTGCGATTTAACGCCGCTAGACTATTTTCTGTGGGGATAATGTGAAGTCGCTAGTCTACGTCAATGTTGTCCACTTGGAGGACAACATTCGCCGCGTTATTGCCGATATACGGCCACAAATGTTAGAAAAAGTCATCGAAAATTGGACTTCCAGATTAGACTACGTCCGAGCCAGCCGTAGCGGTTACCAGAAGTCATATTTAAATAATAATGCCAGAAGATTATTTTTCGTATAAAGTTAATTTCATTTATATGACACAATTAAAAATAATCTGTGCATCAAGAAGTTGATGACGGAAGTAGTAAATGAATTTAACGAATAAAAATATGTACATATTAAACACTTTAGTGTTTTAGTAGAGTATTTTATTTTGTTATGAGAATACGTGTCACATTGAATAACCCAGTTAAGCTTTTATAGAAACATCTGCGCGACTTCCGCTCTTAACCTGACCAAGTGTAACGATTAAAAGTAATCTATTCCGGACTAGGATTCAATGGAGAGCAAACCGGAGTCAATTTACAGGTGGTTGATTGGAATCGCGCCTCTTGTGCCGTGCGGTTTATAATTATCTCTCAGAATACCTTGTCCGGAGACAGGTTGAAAAGTTTTACGTAACCACATACGTGAGATATTGCGCCCAACTTGGTGCATGTGTGAACTTGGTATGTATCTAACGCAAGAGCCACTCCTTTCGTAAATGATAAGGCGTACTGCGTACACCACCTGCTGACCGTCAACTGTAAAAATCGGTTCAATTAAACAAGTGAATGTTATGTTGCGGCTTTAAGCTTTCATCGACGAACAAAAAGATTTAATTTCAAGTGTTTTTTGTAACGTTAACGCCATCTGTTAAAACCTAAATTCTCGGAAGTTTGGTTATTAATGGGTTGCCGGAATATTGGCGACTTTCCAACACCACCTCGTCTGTCAGTTGATCTACTATATCTTCCACGATAAATCGCCAAGTGTATTTATGCAAATCAATCGTACATTAATCGAACACTTTAGTTCTATTTATAAATCGATTTTATACGCAATATTTTCCCGCTACCGAATGGGCAATCCTACTAATTACACGCTCCAGCTTTATGTATTTACTAACGTGGATAAGTTATGAGCTACTCCGACCATTCGAGATCGAGACAGATCAATTACAATTACTCACGACGTGATAGATAACATTTACCGATCACTCCCGGTAATACAAGATATTCTTGAACATTTTTTTTTTTCAATGCAATTCAATCGTGACCTACAATATCATCGTAATAAGACCAAATAAGGTAAAATCCTTGTGTCCATAAAAAAATAATTAACTTCTCCTAAATGTTCTTCTTTAAAACGACTTTTTTTAAAATTGTTTAATATGAAATATAATTTAAATTAGAATTTAAACGGAGCACGACTTACCAAGTACGTATCCAAGTGTAAGTTAACCGGCAGACCCAAGGGATTAAGTACCATCGCGCGCGTTACACTCGACTGGCCTTTCACATTGAAACATTACGTACTAAAGCGCGGACCGCTCACGATTGCATACCACATCCCGAGGCAACGGATGACACTCCCGTGGGTTATTTTGCTACGCGAGCAGCGACGCGAACGATCCGCGTCCTTTAACAGTTCGCCGAAGCAAGCGGCACGCTTAACCATAGGGGCATTAGCATCTAATTCCTTGAGCGATGATAATTTGCGCAATCGAATAAAGATCCCGCACGCTCTTCCTCTCAACCAACTTATATAGCCTCGAGTAGCCGCGAACGGGACGTCCAACACGAAGCAATAAGAATAAGGAGGAGCAAGTGGATGGGATGCTGCTGATTGCGTCAGACCGAAAGCGAACGTTAGGATCGTGATAGAACGCGAGGAGGTGCAACACGAGATGGCCATCTGCATTTCTCAATTGACAATGTACTCCAAAGAACGAACGACTCCGGGCGATGAAAGTGACGGATGACGATCAAAAATAATGTATTCTTCCGTGGTGTTTCAGCGACAAGACGGTCTTAATTTAGATTTATATGTTAAAACCGTGACTAACGACTCGTTCTGGTTAATCTTTTTTTTTACTCTCAGAACATAAACGAGTAAAAACGAGGATAATGGAATACTTCCTCCGAATTAACACCACCCTAAAGTTCTAAAACGATTATATTCTAAAGCACTAAAATAATCTTTTATTTCGTTTTAGAATCGTATTCTTTAAAGGAACAAAAGCAATTCGTTGTAGTTCTTGCGCTCCACGCCACCCATTTCCTTTTAGTACCCTCCGAAGTGTAACGTCCAGTGATTTTCCGCCACACGCAGGAAATATCCGCCATCTAAAACTTGCAGTACTACTAATTGTGTTAATGGAAGAAGCTACTCAATTGATATCGACCGGGGAAGTCTAATACGAACGGTCAATGCCTCTTCGGCCCTTATTGTCTTCATAAGTCGAGCGGCCATGAATTTCTTGCGCGGAAATTGCTCGGATCGGTGGCGACAATTTTGTAATTATCCGTCAATCGATCGCAATCGAGTTCGATTGTAACGGTACCCGAAACATCACGTTAAGATATAACGAACCAACTTGTGGTATAGTTTTCATGATAGATGACTTGTTTACAATAACGGTATTAAAGATTGTCGGAGTTTTTTATTTTCGTAACAATAACCAGCTTCTGGTTTTAATTTAGAGATGATGTAAATGTTTAAATAACACGGCTAGAAAACTCATAAAACCAGAAAAACAATAACAAGAATCACTATTAGAGTACATTTAACATCATAATTAATGTACAAAGTCAATCTTTATCTGTAGCTAAGCATAGTTATTATTAAAAGTAGTTCGTTAACCTTTCCTTACATAAAGTAAATCCACAAACATCCCGTTTAACACAAAACAGTGCCCCAACCGCACTTTCAGTTTTATTTATAATTAAGATACAGATAATCTTATCAAAAACATAATTTTGTGATTCATCGTATTTTGAGATTCACCAAATAAACAAACGTTACTTACTTGTCACGTTGTCTTCTTTTAACGGCCTCTGTCCCGATGATGCTTTGAATTTCCCTTCCCCCTGAAGATTCATCTGAAGTATGGGTATCACTATATAATGATTTAGACGCGTATTTCCCGGCACTTGTTGAAAATTCGGCGCGCGCACTTCTACTTTCAGAGTCCGAACTTGAATCATTAGAAGAAATCCCTTCGTCGGCTGGTTCGACCTTTAACATCGGATAAGAACTTTTATCGCGATGAGATCTTAACGATTCCGATTTTTTCAATGCGGATTTTTTGAGCGGGGAGCTAAAGGCACTGGGATGATCCATGGTGGACTTTAAAATGCCTTTTTTCTCCGATAAAATTGTTTGAGTTTTTTCTTGGACTTCTAAAGAAAAAAAGGAAACGATATTAGAGACGATTTAAACACACTGAACTGTTTATCTCGTAGTTCTTATAATCTGGCCTAAAATAGTGTTATCTAATAAAAGATAAAACTATTGAAGTAGGGTAGATATGGTTTTATCAAGGGACGGGAGCAAAAGAAATATGTTTAATAGCATGAATGCGGTTAATGTATAATGAAAAGCATCTAAAAGCAAACCTAAAGCTCGAGCTACGATGTGTATTCCTCCAGGAATTGAGAACCTGGCTGACTCGACTTCTTCAAATGTGACGGGTTGCGTCTGAAAGCGGGTTTGCCTTCTACCTACTCTAAGCGATTGCTCGGCAAAATTCGGCTTGGTATTGAACATCTTGATGCGTTCTGATAGGCTAAGTTTTGAAGGATCAACTCCATTTGAATCTACATACAATTATAATAAATAAAAAAGGATTTATTATAGGGAAAAACTAAAAAAGCAACAACATTTTAATCATTTTAAAAAAAACACGTACCACTTTCTGATTTAGTATTAAGTTTGGACGCTTCTTCAACTTCATCTAAAGTCACAGGTTGAGTTGAATATCTACTTCCTCGTTCCATATAACTTGGACTGGTTTTGCGCTTGTATTTTTGAATTCCTGAACTACCCAAATTTTTCAATTTTAAATTTTTTGCTTCTTCAGCTATCGCTTTCATTTGCAATTTCGCCGGATCAACTTTAACGGGTGTTAACTTTATAGGTGAAGAAGTTGTGACCTCCTCTTCAAGCTCCAGACCATCTCCAAGGGACTGGAACGCAGAATCCGACGACATCTTCCCAACACCGCTATCCATTCTTGTGCTTGATGTTGAGAGGAAGTCGGTCAGACGATCATCTTCCAGGGATGAACTGAGGTTGAAAAGGCTTTGAGCGGTTTGTTCGGCCGATCTCGAAGTTCCCGACAAAGGAACTTTGGAGTAGTCGTCCAGAGGTTGGTTTTGGACAAAGCTTAAACTAAACGTAAGCAAATTTCAGTTGAACATTGTACGTAGCGAAGCGGAAGGAGTTTCCGCAAGTGGGTCTTTGCTCAGTAAAGGATAGCCGACGACTGCCCGTGCGTAGACGGCAAGTTAATTTTAGCCGAATGGTTTTGGCAACGGAAAATGTCATGCGAGAGAAATATCGGGTTGTGAAGGCGTTCGATCGATGGAAACGTCACGGTTCAAAGTTCATCGCGAAGGGAATCGATATTTACTAGCGAAAAAGTATTATAAAATCTGCGGAAACAAAAGAACTAGGTCGCGAAAGACCAACTAAGAATAATATTTAATTCAAGATTGCACTCAACACGACAATTGAAAGATTGCCAAGACGTAAAGTCGAGAAATAAATCATCTACTAAAATATACTAATATAAGAGAATGTGGGTTGTTTTCATTTCAAGTTGGTTTTGAAATTACTATTTAAATAACATATTAAATTTTATGCAAGATAAAAAAGTGCGCTTATTTCAAAATATTTACAGGACGTAAATAGAATTGTTTTTAAAAATTGAATTTGTGTATATGTAAGAAACAGAATCTCATTTATAAATAGCACTGAAAATATTTGAAGCAAACATTTAATTGAAATCATGTTTTTTTTTGTACACTCTTATGCTAACAAACATTAATATAGGGATGATAATCTGGAAGAGACTCATAGGAAGAGTATCATAGATAAAAAATAATCAGGGGACTAATAATGTGTGTAAGAATAAAAAAAACGCTTTAAAATGGTATTGGAAAATGCCAGAACCAAATTTAAAATGTATCCAAATTAATGATATCTTGCTTAAAACAACAGATAAGATACTGATCGATCACTCCCAAAATGGAGGGTTGCACAAACGCAATTACACACAGTATTAATAATGTATGTAAAAAACAAAATAAGGCTTACAAGTTTTATCGAAAAAGTGGCAGAGATGTGCATTGAATAATGTTTTGAAATTGATCATTTCTGGCACTTTTGAGATGCATAATCAACGCTTTTGGGTAAGTGATTGCAATGCGATGGATCAACATAAAAGGAAGTTGCCAATAGATTCAAATCGGTTGCGACTCAACCGGAGGAACCAAAGGTTGATCTGGAGTGTTTAAGCAAATCCAGTTTGAAATCTGTGAGCTAGGTTGGAAACTCTTAGACCACATAATGCTATGATGTAGAGCTTGGACGGTCAAAAACAATACTCATTTCTTCAAAGATATGGTTTTAAGCCGACTAGAGATGATGAATAGCTTTTTGCTGACTGAGTGAACGGAGCTGTATCAACCTGCACCGAAGTAAATATAGACATTCGTCATCGATGATGTATATTAAAGCCGTGAATGATCAGAAATGATGTGAACCCAATTCCGATTGAAGAAAATGCGGAGAACAGAGAAGTCTGCACCTGCTAAGGAAAATGCGAAAGCTTCATCATCAGTACACTCACCTTAATTGCAGGCCCATTGAGGATGGATACTGGGAGCAGGTATAAGAAGAGTAGGAACAAAGTGCCAGGCATCAGATCTGATAAAGAATCTCTGAAGAGGTTGCTTCAGTAGTACTTTGTAAATTCTATTCCAAAGATTTTCCAAAAATATAAGTGCCCGATTTTGTTTATATTTTTATGAACTTGTTCATCAAATAGTGTGATCGGCTGATTCACGTGAAATCAATACTATATGGCGCAGATTACATTATGTTTATTGGTTAAGCTGAGTTCGCTTGCGGCTGAGGTACTGCACAGTTAATAAATTTACCTCTGAAGGAAAAGATGGCTGTTAAACCGATCTAAAACATTGGGCAAATGGGCTATTTCCCTAAAGGTTGATGATGGGGAGTAACACTCCTCAGAACTTTGATTAGATTATCAGCTTTGGCAGTTCAGATTAGTGTGTGTCCAAGAAAATTGTCAAATTTGCGTATCTTAGTAATAATTTTCAGAAAATATGTACTAACTGAATGGGCTAAGGTTTACGCAAGTTTTATTGGTAATTCTTCAGAGCTACTGGAACGGTATACCCATTTAAGAACATTGGCCGCGTTCCTATCTAATGTTTACCAAATAGCAAAGTCAAGTAGCTGTATGGTAAACATTAGTAGTGGTACACTGTCCACTAGATTGTATACAACCTGCTCAGAATCAAACCTAAGACCAATTGTGGACACCAGTGCTTCATACAACAAACAAAACCCCTTTAATTCCTGATTTTAAGCAAATTTTCACCAACTTTCTTCGCATTGAAGTGTTAAGATTACACTGGGTACCTTTACCAAACACTGTTGGCAAAAGACGCGCGTATATTAGACTCGTCTGGTAATGTAGAGTGCCAGATATGTGTAGAAAAAGAAAAGACAATGGAACCTCTTTATGCCACTGCTCTACAGATCCTTTCCAGCGAATTTGAAAGGTGTAGTATTTATGAAGATCATATGGCTGCGCTGCAATGATTGGTTTCGCCTATCCTATGTACTTATTATGATAACCCATAACTATAATTAATTAAAAAACAACCTTTTGTAAAACCTTAACCTTTTGTGTTAATAATAAATCGTTTGGAGATAATTTAATAAAAACCTAGACTATTTAATTTCTTCTACACCATTAATAACTAATTAATTATATTTTAAATAACTTTGGTGGAATTTAGATTTTTATAGGGCATTGAAAATTGCATAAAATATATCGAGGTCAACTCTTTATATGAGAAAGTAAAAATAAACTATTAAAATTCTACTAACCTTGCTTCGATTTCGTTGAAAGTAACTGGTTGAGTTCTGCTTCTATCATTACTCCTTTTCATACTCGATTTTTTAGGAATGGCACCAGTTGATGGAACGGTAGTGTTTTCGAAATTTTGGACCAATTCTAAAACAGAAACTGGCCTCTTCTTGTGCAAATCTCTATCTGAATCTTGAGTTTTCTTAATCGTTTCGGAAATATTAAAGTCGGTACATATTGTGTCGGGTCGTCTTCTTCTTCTTTCGACTTCAACCGATCCATCATCGTTACCTCTAAATCTTAATCTAGGTAAATCATCGTCTTTGTTCTGTTTGAGAATTGGTTTAACCTCAAATTCGGAAGAATCAGTCTCTGAATAGTCGCGGTATTCCAGGGAAGATCGAGGTATTTTTAAAATCGGACGTGGTTTGTTATCTTCTGGATCGTCGGTATCGGTGCTAGATTTTTTCTTTAAAATAGGTTTGAGCGTTTCGGTCGATGAATCAAAGTGATACTGTTCGTCGATGCTTTTTTTCTTGAGTATCGGTTTGACGTGTTCGTTGGTATCTAAAATCATTTCAGCTCCACCAGCAGCGGCTAAAATAACGGCTGTTGCAATAGAAACATGTTGAGTGCCGCTGGTCGATCCGGCGGAGCTAGTTCCTGATTTTCGTTTCAAAATTCCTTGTGGAGAATTAAGAGAATTTTCGTGATCATCTTCAGGTCGTGAAGATTTTCGCTTCAAGATACCTTGAATTTGAGGATCTGGAGATCTAATTCTAGTAATTTCCTCCAAGGAAGACCTTCGTTGATTTTTTAAAATTGAACGGGAATCTGATTTAGTGGCAACGTCTGGACTACAACTTCTATGTCTAAGAACTTGAGATTCATCCAAACTTCTTCGTTTTTTTAGAATTCCCTGTCGTTTATGATTAGTGGATGGTTCCACCACGTTAGGAGAAAAGGTTACTGGAGGGGTATGGGTTGAAGCGGAAGCAGATTTAGTTTCATCTTGGGAGACTTTTCTTTTAAGTATTGAAACCGGAACTGAAGGGGGCGACACTTCAATCGGTGTTTCCTCCTTTTTCTTCAATATGGAAGATTTTAATTTCTTTTCTCGGTCTGAATCCGAAGATGCGGCGGAAACTTTAGAAGTAATAGATCGCGCCGAACTTTTGCTTTTACTTGCCAACCTTTCCACTCTAGCTAACGTTTCCCTCGTTAACGCGGTCAACTCGTCCATTCTCTTCGAAATCGATGCATTCCGGGTTTTTCGATCCATTTTAGAGGAATCCGTGGGAGGCACTTTTTTGGCGGCCGCGGAGAGCCGATTTTCTTTTTCACTTGTACTAGTCAATTTATCTTTGGAACTTCTTGTCGTCTTATCGGCTCTAATTGCTCTTCGTGCGTTCTCCATATGCACGCTTAATTGGGACCTCTTCGTTGGGGAAGTACAGCGTTGTGCTGAGGCAGTGATTGGTGATGAGGAGAACGGGGACGATGCATTGTTACTGGCAGTGTATAGATTATCACTTTTTATGTTGTCATATGGGCTTATACCTTGTTGAAGGAGATCAGCAGGAAAGAAACGTCGCCTGCGACGTCTACTCTTTGTGTCATCTGTAAAATAACAATAGTATAAATATTTATTTCTGCAAGCGAGGAGGAACAAACGGCAATTCGGATAAATAGACAAACAAGATCAAGCAGGATTATATATATATATATATATATATATATAGATAGATAGAGCGACGGCAGAAAAGACATTAGAAGAAGGAAACGCTATATACCTTATGGACCATTTGGAAAGTCATGGAAAGATCTGACAAGTTGATCAAAAACTCAAGAGAGTTCTACAAAAGAGTAACAAGAATAGTCAGAATAAGGGGGTGGAGTCTAAAAGTTTCTATATGGAAATGGGAACCAGGCAGGGATCTGGCCAATGCAGGATAAGGACAAAAGCAAAGTAACAGCTGCAGAAATGGGGAACCTAAGGCCGAATAATAGGCAGGACCATGAGAGATATAGTCAAAAAAATTAAATACAACCACAAGAGAGGAACTAGAGATAGATCCTTTAGTGAAAAGTAGTGATGAGTGGGCGTAGAGTAAGGATGGAATATGTTATGGCGGTAATTCAGGTGATGCTGTAATCGATAAGCTTGGGGGGTGGAATAGGTGCTAGAGAAGGGGGATTATAGACATAGATATAAGGTGTTTAACGACAATATGACAGTGATGGTCCATTCAATGTATATTTGAGAAGGTTTCCACTGAGGGAGATGAACGGGATGTGTGTGTGAGGTGAGTATGGACATCCTGCAACATACATCGCAGGAGATATGCTGTAGGCTGTCCTCACGGATGGAAGGAGAGTGGAGAGAAGAGAGGAGGCCAGGAAAAAGAGAGAGAGAAGGTAAAGGAGAGTTGAATGGGATTATGAATGATTAGAACTGGTTGGCAGCAGGAGTTGTGTTTGGTTATAATGGGGAATAGTGCTAGTTGTTGGTAGACGGAGGTGGTAGGTGGCCTTTGGGATGATTTGGTGGAGAAGAAGAAGACTTTGGTCGTCATCATGTTTTATACATGGTGACGGTAAGATTATTGTAAGCATCAAGAGTACGATTCTGCAGAGGAGATGGAACATTGAGGAAATAAAGATGATGGTGCTGAATAGAAAGGAGTGCCAAAAGTTGATCGAAGACCTGACCGCGTAAGATACAAGGAAAAGAATAAAGAAGAAGAGACACAATCAGAGACATAGTGAAGTCACAACAGGAAGTTTGTACATATATAAAAATTAATCTATAATTTTTTATACAGCCATATGTATAATGTATAAGAAAAGTCTAGAATAAACAAAACTTTACCGGTGAATTTATAATTTATATTCCACGTTTTTGTTACACCCTATAATAATCCCAAAAACACAAAATATAATTTCTTGAGATACTTACTAAATGAATTAAGAAAATTTTGTAAACAAAAAATACACCAAACACATCAAATTTCAAATGTATATCAACGTGGACTGTTGTGGTAAAGGTTTTATCAATGATAAAGCGATAAGGCATCCAAATTAAGCCACTTGCGCTAATTCAGTTGCTATTACGATATGGTTTAATCATAAAATTCGATTAGAATAGAAAACAAGATTCGCCACTTTATGATAAGCTAATGGACTTACCAATAAAATCGTCAACGGGAACTTCTTCGCAATTTAAAGATCTGTTCAAATTAGATTTTCGTTTTCCACTCTTATCTTTCTCTGATTTTGTTGTTGTTACGGACGAGGCGTCGTTATCCCGGTAGCTAGACGGACTCGTGACAATTTTCTGAAAGATAACGAAAAAAAAGAAAAATAACACTTTAAATAATAACACGAAAAAGAACATCGCCATGTCACCCACATTGTTATCTGTCAACTGGGGTATATAAAAAAATGTTGTTTGGACGAGTGGTTGGTGCAGTTTCGTGCCGGTTTTGCAGCTAAACTTGAAACGTCGTCGAAGATAAGACCCGTAATAATGTGAAGGCAAGATTATCGCCGTCCACTTAAAAACTTCTTGTCGAGCTTCCTAATTAATGACGGTGTGCAAAACGGATGATTTATTAAGGGGAGTTGTAAAATTGGTTAATTATCAGCATCAACCATTAATAATAATTTTGTTCTTTTCTTGTTTGACTCGTTTTTCAATCTCGTCGCAAATAACCCTATCTAGCTACATACATAGTAATTGTAGGAGGAAACTTCAACTTTGTAGTCAAGATCTACCTGCTGCCGCAGGTGCAGACTGGTTTCATGCCCTCGCGGTCTTCGATGTTTATTTTCAAAGAGCGGACTCCTCAATGACGTGGGTTACGTGGGTAGCAGAATTTATTCTGAATCTTTGATGACGCAATCAAGGGGGACGAACTAAGGCGGCGAAATTATGCAATACGGGGACTGGAAAATGTGTTTCAGCGGTCGCCACCGCGCTTCCCACATTTATTAGCGATTATGTAGTTATTTCTGGGTTGGTTGCTTAAACCGGAATATTTACATCCGATACCTTGAAAGTAAAATTTTAAATTTAAAGAATAATTCTTTAATAATATTTAAATTGTTATTATCTCCTATTATTAATCTCCTATGATGTAGGCAACCAAAATTACATCAAAAACGTTTTTAAACTGAAATCAATTCTGTCTTAGCATAAATAAAATCTAATTAATAATAGACAACGACCTCGGAATATGCACATCCACGTGCGCATTAAAAAAGAAGAGAATAAATACTGTGGGTGACTAAAAACCTTGATGTTAATTGAATGAATAAGATAAATAATTTTAAAATCACTTACTTCTTTAATTGATTCTTGCCCTGCTACAGCTGCTGCTCGAAGTCTAGATGCTCGGGTGGTTCTTGGGCCATCAGAACTGCTTGATCCGGTACTGTTGTTCTTTTTCGTTGTTCCAGCACCTTCGGTTGGCATCCCATATTGCAGGGCTAATTGCCTCCTCCTTTCCTCCTTATAACGGGCAATCCTTTGCGCCCTGCTCTCCTGGTTGTCAGACATCACTTCGGCTTGGTCTTCGTTGTCGCATGATAAATACACAGGGAAATTGGGTAGAGTTACCAGGAAGAACTGATCGTCTGAAATGAGTCGAAAACTTTATAAATAGAAGACCTAAATGTTTGGGTAAACAACCGAAAGCGTTTGTGGGTCGTTTTTGTTATCTGTTGAGGTAGGACGTAATTAGTTAACTTGATAGAATCGGATCTAAATACATAAATCAATACGATTTTGACGAAATGCTATTTTAAAACAATGGTTAATTTGAAAAATTTGCATTATCAATTAACATCTCCTTAAGGTCAGATTTATAATTGCCATTTGGATGTAAATTATCACGTAATTACGCAAATTTAAACAGGTTCTACTAGGTCGTTAAAAATTAAAAAAGTGTAATTAACGATGCAGTCTATTATTTAACTTCATGACTTACACTCGTTAAAATAGATTTTGGCAAGATTTGAGACACGGCTTATGTCATCAATATTTAACGTTCAATCATAGCTTCCCATGTTGACGAATGAGTTAATATTATATTTTTAATAGTTTAACGTAATGATTGGTTTATAAAAATGTTTCAATTTCTTTAACAGCTGCGACATAGACATGCACAAGCAGCTTGACATCTTTAGTGGGCGTAGCGTTTAACTGGCAGTAGGACGTTATTTTTCTTAATACCACAGCGATTTCTTGTCCTTGGTTGCGAAAAAGTCGCGTTCCACAAGTGAATGTGGCCTACAAGATCGTACCATATATCGCTCGCAGGTGTCAATACGATGATGATATCACTCAACAAACTCACTTGTCCAGAATTTACACATTTTTAAAATCTACATGCTTTGTTAGTTTCCCAAAAATAAAAATGAAATTTTAAAACATTCCACACGACACACAAATTGAAATAACTTGTCATCGACGGTGTATATGACACGCGCCGTGGGTTTATGATGTTAAAACAATGTTGCATACCACGATCTTTCGCATAGATAAACAATTCTGGTGCGGTCGTAATAACGTTACGTACAAATTGAAATGCGGAAACTAATTTATGCAACTTGTCCGCGTAACGGCATCCGCAGACAGCTGATTTCACACAAAACAGTTGCAAATGGCTCGTGTAGTCTGCTCTGTTAATTTGTTTACGGTGCTTTTGTTAGATGAAATTGAGTTACACGCTCATTTACAACAATCTTCCTAATAAGGTTACTTTTAAAAATCATATCTGACATTTCCATTTATGAGCGTAACGAGAAACCGAGTTCTTAAAATGTTTTTTATTATTAACAACCTATTGAATTGTAGCAATGTGCACCAATTTTTTGCTGATCGAAAATGTTATTAGGACTTATACAAGATTAAATCAACTAATCAACAGCGAGAAGGATAAGCTATTATAAATCATGTTTCGAAATTTATAGGACATTTAAAGGACATTAAAAAAATAAATGATTATATCAAATTAAATATTTTTTTATTAAAACTTAAGTAGAAATGAAACAACAAGATTATTAAATAATTGATAGTTTGCGGTCCAATTCTCCCTTCATCAACACATTACCACAAATGAAAGCGTATAAACGCCACAACTGATAGCTTTATAATTCGCATTATTACGATTGAAGCGAACCTATAGATCGATAAATAGAGAACGTCTTGCACGTGCGCCTGTTGCGATCAAAACGAATCGAAACTGAATTAAATCGAATAAAGGGCCTTAACAACCCGATTTCTTCTGATGATACGAATCAACTTTCTTATACCCATAGTGATCGGGCCTCCAAGGAATTGCTCTCGGGTAAACTGACGTCATGACATTAACATAAACGTCGTGCCGTCAGATTTTTTTTTTGCTGCAACATGAAAGTTTGTCTCTCCACGACAAGATTCGGAGCGCAAAAGTGAAAGCAGAGTTGCCAATTGGCGTTACATAAAATAATATAATTATTCTCGAGTTTACAGCTACATGATTTCGTAAAATAAACCGTCAAATTAAGTACTAACAAGTTTCTCTCTTATTTGCATCTAAAAGTTTTACTACGGCAAGTTGGCTACTTGCTTAATTAAAAGTAAGGAGTAAAGTTTAGTTTTCAAGGGAGGAAAGCAGAGTTTAAAATTTATATTATCTCCTACCCCTCCTACTAAGAGAATAAACTAATTTAACGTCTCGAAGACATTTCTATTATTTATTTTACTAAACTTTTAACTGGGAGTAATTTATTAAAATCAGTTACCGCTAAAGTATCGTATTGCATACTTTAACTAGTGAAAATAAATTCATTAGAGACTTTGCAATTGAAATCATTAAATACTTTTGGTAAACCAATTATATATAATACTTAGCCGCTAGTGGCTTCGGATATTATTGTATACCAACAGTATGAAGTATTATATTTGATACACATGATGCAAAGTAGCCAAGGTCGTTTGCGGCCGAGGCGCTGCAATTAAGACCGCCAAACATAAAATGCAGTTAAGCTAGACACTAAATACTTTTAATAACCAGTGTTGAATCCGATTATACTGGGTTAGACAGGGAGGTATGGATGATTTGAAATAACAGCCTCACCCTCATTTTTCAACGAAACTCAATTTTTATTTTTTCAATGTGTAGCTTGAATATTGGCAACACAAAAATTAAAAAATTTCTTGTGTTATTGTTTCACTTAGGGCTTCAAGTGTACGTGGTTTTTTATGTATACTCGTGCTTTGAGGTAGCCCCATAAAAAAGGTCACAAGGGGCCAGGTCCGGTGACCGAGGAGGCCACTCCACATCTCCACGCAATGAAATGAGGCGTCCAAGGAAGATCTGTCATACAAATTCCATAGTTGCTCTCGATGTATGGCATGTCGCCCCATCTTGTTGAAACCATACTGTATTAAGGTTGATACTCGACCACGTCTCCATTGTTACTAATAACCACTAATAACTAAATGGCGACTCCTGACGAACAGATACCACCACTGTTTATCCACCAAGGTTCTCCCCATCTTGCGTGGCGCCACGTTCAAATCATCCATACCTCCCTGCCTAACCCTGTATATATAATACTTAGTATTTTCAAGATATGTAGCATCTTTTAAATATAATGACTCGGATAACATTGTCTACAAAGACCATGAAGTTTTACTTTTGGTAAGCATGACTGGAGGTCTTAGAGGCATTAGTCAAGATGGTCAAATAAGAAACACGATTACCAACTTACTAAATATTATTGGTAACCCCAAATATTTAAGGAAACCGATTTTGAAACGGATTGTTCATCAACATTTAATATCTTTAAGATATGATGAGTGTAACAGTCGTTAAAACACAGCCTCTGAGCTTCACGAAGCCTTTGCTATTGTTATATACTCTATAATATTAATTAATATTGTTTATGACATATAATTGGTCAAAGCACAACACATCAACATAACCAAAGATCTGCTCTGGCAAGATACCAGATTATATACAAAGATATGTATACACGAAACTCCTCAAAAAATACTGATAAATTGAAAACGATAACCCGTTGAAATAAAAATATCTTAAAATGCCAGCAATTATGTAATAAAAGAGATATACATAAAACTCTAAGTTACATAAAAAATATGCAAACTCAGAAATGGGCGAGGATGAAGGCTAATATAATCAAGAAGAACATCGAAGATCTAAAACAGGTTTGAAAAGTAAGAATAAGATGACAAAATGTAATATAATACAATTTATACAATACAACTTCAGCAACAAATAATAACAAACACTGTAAAAGTAGAAAAAGATAAAAAGAAGCGAGACAAGATAAGATAGATAATCAAAGATATTTTTAAACTAAAATCATAATTTTTTAGTAGCAATGAAAAAAATTCAGAACTGGAAAAGAAATGAAATAATTTGATAGGTTCAGAAACATCTACAACAATCATGGGGTTACGATAAGAAAGAAGCTGTTCATCATATTTAAGAAAGAAATCCAGAAAAATGTAAACCGCTAAGAAAGGAACTAGGAGTAGGTTACTTACAGCTTTAAAGAATACCGAAGTAACTGAAGGACTATTCCCATGTCATCTGCGAATGATATTTGCCAGAAATAAGAATGATCTACAAAAAACCTAGATGCGTGGAATGTAGTAATGGAAAAGAGGCAAAACTAAGGTAATGAACACTAAGCCTTCACAATCCACTAAGACATTAGTGGACCAAATATCCGCATTAAATTGCCTATCTGCTATTTTTCAAGCAGAAGATCTTGCTATGAACTTCAGCACCGCTTTGAATCTACAAAAGGGACAAAAAGGTGCATCCATAAATATTTTGACAGACAGTCGAGCTGTCCTAAAGGCAATTCGGGTCTACACGTATGACTCCGCACTGATCAGAGAGTGTACCAGCAACCTGAGAGAACTCGCTAGGGGTGATGACGTTATTCTATGGTGGGTTCCAGATTACAGAGACATTGAGGGCAATGAGAAGGCGGACAAGCTGGCCAAAGAGGCAGCAAAAACGCCTTTCATTGGACCCCAACCCGGTTGTGAACTACAAAAAGCTACCTAGAACAAGTAATCAACAGTTGGGAGGGCTCGAAGGTAGCCTTACGCTGGAAAGAACTTCCAGGCCATAGACAAGCGAAGAATATGATAACTCCATCGCAAAACAAAACCAAACAGGTTTTATGCCTCAGCAAATCTAAGGACGCTCTCAGATTTCCTAACCAGCCATGTACAGTGTTGTTAAATACCAGGGTATTTATGTTCAAGGGAAAAGTCCCTGTATATATACCCAGGGGTATTTACCTAAGATAAGTATTTAAAGGTATTTACAAAATTTGATTTAAATTGAGGTGATGGCATTTTTGCCAGTACTTCAACAATGCAGAGTCGATTATCGATACAGCAAACTAATTTATAACATTTACAAGAATGCTACAATGACGGTAAAATTGTATGAAAGTACTGACCGAATACCCATTGGGCGTGGGGTAAGACAAGGCGATACAATGTTGAACCCAAATTGTTCAAACAGTCCTGGAGAGTGATTTAAACAACTGGATTGGAAACAACTGGATTTGCGCTACGCGGACTCTTAGGCCTTTATAGTCCT